ATATATATATATATATAATGTCATTTTACAAAACATCCAGAACATGGAATGCATTTTTTATTTTTAAAATTTCATCAAGGGGGTCAGTTTTGGGCTGTGAGCCTTATGTTTGACACCCCCCATGTCTAGGACATAAAAACATCAGAAAGGTTTGACTTATGCTTGAGAGCCATAAAGAAAGGCAAAAAAGATCCCATAAAAACAACACTAACAAAGAAAACGAATAATATGTCAGGTTCCGTATACAGCACCGCATGATGATGTCTTCGAGTTTCAACGCTGTATGTCGGAATGATGGAACAACACCTTCTTAATAAATTTATTGGGAATGGAGAGGTAACCATGAAACGCTGTAGGTTGAGTAAGTAGTAAACTGCAGCTTGTTTTGTTATTGTTATATTAAATGCTGTTATTATTTTAAAGGCTAAGATAGAGAAGAATAAAGAAAGGCTGCACCAAAATGCCTGAATTTCTTGTTACTTGATCAGTGTCTCTTCATAATGACCATCTAAATAAACTTGAACAACTGAAAGCCTCATAAAATCACTGGCCTCCCACACAAGTATCAGGTTAGAAAACATGGAATGAATGGAACACAACACTAATTTTGACATGCACAGTAACTCTGGCTGCAGCTCACCATTGCTGAGGATGATGGAGTCAGAAGTGTTTTAATGAGAGAAGCATATACATAAACTAAACGGACAGCTGAATATCCAAATGTTCAAAGCTGCATGTAACCAGCTCCGAATGAGATACAGTTTCCACTCTGCCAGCTCATAAACGAAGAACACATAATGAGCACAAAGCAGAGACACCGGACATCTGGAGGAAGCATATGGATATCTGTGTTAATGGTGAGCAGATAGACCATAACTCCAACCTTTAGACAGTGTTTTAGCAACAGCTGGAACCCAATAATCGCCGATTGTTCAGAATTGCAACTGCTGTGTGACAAAGAAAGACAGGAGGAAGTGGTGCGGGGATAACTGTGGAGTATTCTTTGAAACGCGAGAAATAATCACTGAACACAAGCACACAATTACGATGGGTGTATTTGTGTACTGGTTTTCACCATGGTACGGGGACCAAAAATATCATGTCCTAGATGAACTATATGGGTATTATGCAGATAACATATACCATGGAGAATAATCACTGTTTTTGAAATTTCTGTAATTCCCAACTCAATCTGTGTGGAGCCTCATTTATGCTCTTTTTTTTAACAAATGTCACCGTCATCCACTAGGGGCAGTGCTAAACTTCTTTAGTGCCTTTAGAATCACAACCAGTTCATGTCCTGTTTTGTTCCAAATGGTTCTTTGTGAGGTCCCAGTCTTCAGAACCTAGTGAGGTAACGCAACCGATGTCCTTGAAAGTGAGAACACATTAGCACAGTCACATCAACCTTTCTTCATACAGTTCTTCCAGTTCTGTTGTTGTAGTTTCAGTGTTGTTGGGGGCAGTGGTGTCTTGGTAGTTAAGGAAGCAGACCTGCTTACTTTGGTGATGAGGTAAAAGAGGTCACACAAGTAGTTTACTTTTCTTGTTTTCTTCTTGCTTCCTTTATTATTGCTTGTATTTCATGTTAGCACATCAGCGCCCCAACAATTTCTACTGCTACTGTTCTGTTTCCCGCTTTGGGGCACACATCTGTTAGCTCTCTAAAAATGTACGAAAATGCAAAAAAGAAGTTCCATTAAAAAATACAACTTTAATGACAGGATAAAGGGATAAAAGAACAGATAAATAAATGGAGAATTGACAACCCTGATTTTTCCCATTAAAGTAAAGAAATTCAACTCATCATTGGGATGCAGCCATAAATTACTTTCTCTTTGGGTTATCTAAAAGGTTGAAGGCCAAAGGTTTTACTGCTCCAAATTGAAGAGGTGGTGATGTGGTAAGTGTTGACTTCCTGTTGGTTGGCTGCGATCAAGCTCTTGTTATTTCAAATGACCCCAATTGTATTTCATTGGTTTCTTTCATTCTTGCCAGATAGTTGTCTTCCATAAAACATCTGCATCGCATCCTGTTGTGATGTCCCTTTCCAGATGCAGCTGATTTGTTGCTCCTATAAAAAGACATCTGCCGAGTCACCACGGTGAAAGAGATGTAATTAAAAATAACGTATTTGCTGTGATTGTCTACAAGGGATTTTTGGTTTTGACAGGTGTGTGGAATAATTGGTATAAGTGAAGGATTTTTTTTTTTGAGAATCTGTTTGCTCCCATTTATAAAATATTTATTGGAATATGTTTAACTACTACAGTATTCCAGAAATTCACTGCAGTTACTTCTTACTCTATTGCCATACATTACTATTGAAGGAGCTGAGGTGAAGTGGCTCTGTGCATTTTATGACTTAATCAAACCAACAGACAGCTTTATGATGTCTGTCATGTCTGTCGCTTTTTTTTATAACTGATATTGTGTCCATGACTGCTTAACAGAGTGATCTACTGCTGTAGTATTTAGTCTCAGCTCTGGAAAATGTAGGTATTTCAGTCCTGAACGGTAACAATGAAATACTTGTATTCATGCTGTGGTCGCACTATGCACTTTATATTCAGCAGAGAAAGAAACCCGTGGCTCAACATTATGTGTTAAAAGGACGTGTTTATAGTGGCACTCACTATCTATCTCCAGGTGCATGTGTGTGTGTGTCCGCATTTGTGTATCTGCGCACACTCCTGTCTTGCCACAATTCCTTTCCCTCTCATTAAATTTGAGGGTTAAATTTGCATGTCCTCACCTTCAGTGGGACGGTTATTTATATCCAGAGGTGTTTCCTTTTCTGTAGGTGTGTTCTTTTACAAGACAGAGCTAGTGAAACTGACAGGAAGTGAGGAGGAGAAATAACAGGAATAAAGACCATAGAGAGAAAAAAACCGACGTCCAAGTCTGAGAACTGCAGCATGGGACACTGAAGGCTTAGCTGTGAACCCCATACCAAAAACTGCTCTCTTTTTTGGTCCCAACAACAAAGTTCTCAAAAAACACCAACCATCTCCATGCCCTCTTTCAGGACATCCTCAAATCTCCTCTTTCCTGGCTGCTCCATCTCGCACATCCTTGACTAAGATGTTCGCTCACTCTCCTCAACACATGTCCAAACCATCTCCACCTCACCTCTAACCTCATTTACTGCTCCACCTTAACTATACCACTGATATGCTCATTTCTACCTCTGAGTGTCTCACCATTGTCTTAATAAAACATAATCATCCACCATACCCACAGATCAGGGTCAGGTCTTTGTGGGAGGTCTCATTAGTATTGATTTGTTCATTTGTGTAGCTGACAATGATTTTCTGTCTGTCAGTAATCTTGATCTCAGGTGACCAAATCTAGGTATCGTCTCAAATGTCCTTACAGATATGACTTCAAGTTGCATAGATACTGTATGTTTCTGGCTGTTCTGGTTACATTATAACTTATCATTATATTACAAATTATCATTCTTGATTCCTTGACGTCCCCTCTTTTTCACCGTGCATTCAGTCTCCTACTCTCCATTTATCTTAGTCCTCTCAGTGTGTCAGTGTATATATTGCCATCATCCCACTCAGCCACAGTATGTCTGCTTCTCTAGGAGTAAACACAATCTTGAGAGGCCGTGGTTTAAGCAAAATAAGGTGAGCATCTGATCAGCGAGTCCTTCTGGTGCCTAAAGCTGTAGGTTGTAGGAAAAGAGTGATTTGTTTAACAAAAAAAGTACTTTAAGCAGTACAATAAAATAGAATGCAATAACAGTGGAAGGCCAATTTGTAATGACTGACGACGTTTTCTTAATAAAAGTGATTTCATCTGAATAAATCATCAATGCTTTCAATAGCTAGTATCAGTAATGTGTGGACAGGGGAGGCATTGTCTCCCCTTCCATCATGATAAAAAATAGAAAAAAAGTACATAAAATAAATATTAATAATTTCCACTGATCTGTGTTAACGATGCATTTACAGTATGACTCTGCACAATTCTGACAATTGAT